ACTGGATTCTTTAGGGATGCAAAACCAGTGACTAATTATATGTATATAACTATTTAAGCAAAGGAAGTGACTCACGAGCTGATAGAGGCTGGCACGTCCCTTGTCTGTGGCACGTAGCTGGGAAGGCTGGCAAAGCCAAGGTGGATGGGTAAGGCAGGTTGTCGGTGCAAGGAGTCAAAGAGGTGAGAAGCCTGTTGCAAAAAAGAAAAAAGCAAACCAGGGCTTCCTTATAGACTCAGCGTAGACCACACCTCCGAGGAAACCCAATTGATTCAGCCGAATGACTGCTCGCGAGAATACTGACGACAGGAAGAATTGATTCCATTCAATCAAGCCTCGTAAAGGGACTGAACACAACTGGACAACCAGAGAAAATTAGAGACGTTGAAACGAGGATCTTACCCAAGAGATGATAGAGAACTAGAATGTCCTCCCACACTTGGTGCCCTGAATTCAGACTTTGAGCTATAACTATTGCTGCGAGTACTGTCATTTTGAGTATGACTCACAGTGACCCTATGAATAGGGGATCAGAGCCTTGCCCTCATCTATGATCGTCACATCTCTGATAGATTTGAGCTCTTCCAGCAGTGTTGAGGGTCTTCTCCTCTTTTGCTGATCCTCCAGCTTTCCAAGTGTCATGTCTTTTTCCCCAAGGACTGTCCTGTCCAAACAACATACCCAAAAATGCATAAGAAGAAATGTCTTCATCTTTACCTATAAGACATACGTAGATTGAACATTCTCCAAGACATACTGATTTCCTTCAAAGAAACCATAACAGCACATAAGCAGCTATAAATACACCCATGTTTATCACGGCTTTGATCACAATAGCGGAGAGTTGGAAACAACCCAAGTGCCCATCAACCAACGAATGGATAGAGAAGCTGTGGTCTATTCACACAATGGAATACTACGCTGCATTGAAAAACAAGGACCATTTCTTCATGTGTTTGTTTGCCGTCTGAATGTCTTCTTTGGTGAAGAGTCTATTTGTATCCTGGGCCCATTTTTCAGTTGGGTTATTTACCTTTATCTTGTTGTGGTGCCCATCAACAAACGAATGGATAGAGAAACTGTGGTATATTCACACAATGGAATCCTATGTAGCACTTAAAAACAAGAAACTCATGAAATACTATGCAAAGTGATGCTCTTAGAGGATATTATGATGAGTGAAATATCTCAGTCACAAAAGGACAAATACTGCATAGGACCACTATTATAAAACAAGACTGACATTGGGGTTGAGGGAAGACAGAGAAGAAGGGGAGGACTGATGTATACTGCATTGAAACAGATAAGGGGGAGAACTGTTTAAAAGGGATATGTGATTAGGTACTATTGTCATGACAGGAGTCCAGAATGAAGGCTGCACAGTGGAGTGGAGTTGGGCAGGGAGAGGGATTGCATAGCAAGGAAAAAGTTTTACTTATCAAGGAGAAAAGTGAATTGGGGGTGAAGGGGTGCGCAGGGAGAAAAGTGCAGCAAAGAATGACTGGAAACCCTGAGTCTCTGTAAATTTTCAATAAGATTAATAAAAAAAAAGAAAGAAAAACAAGGACCTCATGAAATATCATACAAAATGGGTGAAATATCTCAGTCACCAAAAGACAAATACTGCACAACACCACTGTGACAGAACAGGACTGATCTGAAGGTTGGGGGGAAACTAATAAAAGAGGGGATAAATAATGTACACAGCATTGAAACAGAATAGGGAGAGAACTGTATAAAGGGAACATATAATTAGGTATTATTTTCATGATTAGAGTCCATAATAAGAGCTGCATAGTAAAGTAGTCTGCGGGGGAGTGGGGGGGTGGAATGTATATCAGTGAAAGAACTATTTTTTCCCCCAAAGGAAAAAGGGAACTGGGGCGGGGGGGAAAATGTTCAATAGTGAACGATTGGAAACCTGAGTTCTTTATAAACTTTCATTAAAATCTTAAAAAAAAAGGGGAAAGAGTTCAGGTTCCGCATCAGGGCACCTCTCTCCCACAGCAGAGAGGAGGCCAGTGGCTTATGGCAGGACTGGTAGAATGACACACACAGTTTGTTAGTTCTACTAAACAAACCCAACTCAAAATTGGTCGGAAGGCTCAGACAAGCCACCTTCCTCCTCGAGGTGACTGAATGAGGAGGGCTGAACCATGATGGCCTAGGGTGAATTGATCAAGTGTTTTCCAGTCTGCCTGATCTGTTTGACCAACCTTTATAGCAGGTCGAGTGACAGTATTGAGGAAGGGACTCTGCGTCTTGGGCATGTAGCAATACCAGGGACCTTGATGGATAGTCGAGCTGATTGAGCTAAGGCAGCGTTCGGAATTGTTGGCAAGAACAACACGTGTGGAAGAAGAGAGGATTTTTAAAAAAATTTTATGTGTGTGTGTGTGTGTACCTTTAAATCAGATCTGACTGGTACAGGAGGAGATTGTTCCTCCTTCTCCAGCAGAACATCTGGTGGATTTGAACCGTGAACCTCTGGGATTGCACTAGAGCTTCTTGCCACTAAGCCACCAGAGCTCGCCAGAAGAGAAGATTTTTACATGTGCCCAAGAGAAGCTCCAGCTGCTGGGCCTGCTTGTCTTCCCCAGAAGGTGGCAGTCAAGCACTGCCTGGCCGTCTGCTGGGGACAGAGGAGCTTGCCACTTAACTTGATCAGAAAACAGGACCGAAGTGAGGAGCCCAGCTGGTAGCTCCTTGTTTCCACATATAGACTTGACCGATGACTGGTCTCTATAGGAGCCAGAGGATGTCTATTGGGCCAAAGCAAAAGGAAATTTAGAAAGAGGCCAAAGGCTGGAAGGTGAGTGGGAAAGGGTCTGCTTCCGAGGAAAGCACCGCTGAGCTCTCCTTAACCACGTCCATCCGTGACGAGATCCAGTGTGGGAAATGGCACTGGCTGGATTGTCAGGTGCTGGCCCAGAGGGAAAGGTCTAGTCAAAGAAGTCATTCGGCACGCCACCGATTGTGAACCTGTCTGGAGAACACTGCTGAGACAGATCTGAGAGAACGGCTGGTCTTGGATTTCCAAGAGAACGAATGTCTTGGAGAACACGCAACCCAAGTGCTCCTAACATAAAGGCAAGGATGGTGGAATGGTGGAATTTCATCTCATAAATTTTGGACATGTTGTTAGGAGAGTTG